TCTGGTTTACCGCAGTCTGGGTCCTAGCCCTGGTGTAACACATTCTAGGTCCTAGGCCTGGTTTACTGCAGTCTGGGTCCTCCGCCTGGTTTACCACAGTCTGGGTCCTAGCCCTGGTGTAACACATTCTAGGTCTTCGGTCTGGTTTACCGCAGTCTGGGTCCTAGCCCTGGTGTAACACATTCTAGGTCTTAGGTCTGGTTTACGGCAGTCTGGGTCCTAGACCTGGCTTCCCGCAGTCTGGGTCTTAGGCCTGGTTTAACACATTCTGGGTCCTAGCCCTGGTTTACCACAGTCTGGGTCCTACGCCTGGTTTAACACATTCTAGGTCTTAGGTCTGGTTTACTGCAGTCTGGGTCCTACGCCTGGTTTAACACATACTGGGTCCTAGGCCTGGTTTAACACATTCTGGGTCCTAGGCCTGGTTTACCGCAGTCTGGGTCCTACGCCTGGTTTAACACATTCTGGGTCCTAGGCCTGGTTTACCGCAGTCTGGGTCCTAGGCCTGGTTTACCGCAGTCTGGGTCCTAGGCCTGGTTTACCGCAGTCTGGGTCCTAGGCCTGGTTTACCGCAGTCTGGGTCCTACGCCTGGTTTAACACATACTGGGTCCTTGGCCTGGTTTACCGCAGTCTGGGTCCTAGGCCTGGTTTACCGCAGTCTGGGTCCTAGGCCTGGTTTGCCACAGTCTGGGTCCTACGCCTGGTTTAACACATACTGGGTCCTAGGCCTGGTTTACCGCAGTCTGGGTCCTAGGCCTGGTTTACCGCAGTCTGGGTCCTAGGCCTGGTTTACCGCAGTCTGGGTCCTACGCCTGGTTTACCGCAGTCTGGGTCCTACGCCTGGTTTACCGCAGTCTAGGTCCTACGCCTGGTTTAACACAGTCTGGGTCCTACGCCTGGTTTAACACATTCTAGGTCTTAGGTCTGGTTTACCGCAGTCTGGGTCCTAGTCCTGGCTAACCGCAGTGTGGGTCCTAGGCCTGGTTCACCGCAGTCTAGGTCTTCGGTCTGGTTTACCGCAGTCTGGGTCCTAGACCTGGCTTACCGCAGTCTGGGTCCTACGCCTGGTTTAACACATTCTAGGTCTTAGGTCTGGTTTACTGCAGTCTGGGTCCTACGCCTGGTTTAACACATACTGGGTCCTAGGCCTGGTTTACCGCAGTCTGGGTCCTACGCCTGGTTTAACACATTCTAGGTCTTAGGTCTGGTTTACCGCAGTCTGGGTCCTAGGCCTGGTTTACCGCAGTCTGGGTCCTAGCCCTGGTTTACCGCAGTCTGGGTCCTAGTCCTGGTTTACCGCAGTCTGGGTCCTACGCCTGGTTTAACGCATTCTAGGTCTTAGGTCTGGTTTGCCACAGTCTGGGTCCTAGGCCTGGTTTACCGCAGTCTGGGTCCTAGTCCTGGTTTACCGCAGTCTGGGTCCTAGTCCTGGTTTACCGCAGTCTGGGTCCTAGTCCTGGTTTACCGCAGTCTGGGTCCTAGTCCTGGTTTACCGCAGTCTGGGTCCTAGGCCTGGTTTACCGCAGTCTGGGTCCTAGGTCTGGTTTACCGCAGTCTAGGTCTTCGGTCTGGTTTACCGCAGTCTGGGTCCTAGACCTGGCTAACCGCAGTCTGGGTCCTAGGCCTGGTTCACCGCAGTCTAGGTCTTCGGTCTGGTTTACCGCAGTCTGGGTCCTAGACCTGGCTTACCGCAGTCTGGGTCCTAGGCCTGGTTTAACACATTCTAGGTCTTAGGTCTGGTTTACTGCAGTCTGGGTCCTACGCCTGGTTTAACACATACTGGGTCCTAGGCCTGGTTTACTGCAGTCTGGGTCCTACACCTGGTTTAACACATTCTAGGTCTTAGGTCTGGTTTACAGCAGTCTGGGTCCTAGACCTGGTTTACCACAGTCTGGGTCCTAGGCCTGGTTTAACACATTCTAGGTCTTAGGTCTGGTTTAACACATTCTAGGTCTTAGGTCTGGTTTACTGCAGTCTGGGTCCTACGCCTGGTTTAACACATTCTAGGTCTTAGGTCTGGTTTACCACAGTCTGGGTCCTAGGCCTGGTTTACCGCAGTCTGGGTCCTTGGCCTGGTTTACCGCAGTCTAGGTCCTACGCCTGGTTTAACACATTCTAGGTCTTAGGTCTGGTTTACTGCAGTCTGGGTCCTACGCCTGGTTTAACACATTCTAGGTCTTAGGTCTGGTTTACCACAGTCTGGGTCCTAGGCCTGGTTTACCGCAGTCTGGGTCCTAGTCCTGGTTTACCGCAGTCTGGGTCCTACGCCTGGTTTAACACATACTGGGTCCTAGGCCTGGTTTACCGCAGTCTGGGTCCTAGTCCTGGTTTACCGCAGTCTGGGTCCTACGCCTGGTTTAACACATACTGGGTCCTAGGCCTGGTTTACCGCAGTCTGGGTCCTAGTCCTGGTTTACCGCAGTCTGGGTCCTAGGCCTGGTTTACCGCAGTCTGGGTCCTACGCCTGGTTTACCGCAGTCTGGGTCCTAGGCCTGGTTTACCGCAGTCTGGGTCCTACGCCTGGTTTAACACAGTCTGGGTCCTACGCCTGGTTTAACACATTCTAGGTCTTAGGTCTGGTTTACTGCAGTCTGGGTCCTACGCCTGGTTTAACACATACTGGGTCCTAGGCCTGGTTTACCGCAGTCTGGGTCCTAGGCCTGGTTTAACACATACTGGGTCCTAGGCCTGGTTTACCGCAGTCTGGGTCCTAGGCCTGGTTTACCGCAGTCTGGGTCCTAGGCCTGGTTTACCGCAGTCTGGGTCCTAGTCCTGGTTTACCGCAGTCTGGGTCCTACGCCTGGTTTAACGCATACTGGGTCCTAGGCCTGGTTTACCGCAGTCTGGGTCCTAGTCCTGGTTTACCGCAGTCTGGGTCCTAGTCCTGGTTTACCGCAGTCTGGGTCCTACGCCTGGTTTAACACATACTGGGTCCTAGGCCTGGTTTACCGCAGTCTGGGTCCTAGTCCTGGTTTACCGCAGTCTGGGTCCTACGCCTGGTTTAACACATACTGGGTCCTAGGCCTGGTTTACCGCAGTCTGGGTCCTAGTCCTGGTTTACCGCAGTCTGGGTCCTAGGCCTGGTTTACCGCAGTCTGGGTCCTAGGCCTGGTTTACCGCAGTCTGGGTCCTAGGCCTGGTTTACCGCAGTCTGGGTCCTAGGCCTGGTTTACCGCAGTCTGGGTCCTAGGCCTGGTTTACCGCAGTCTGGGTCCTAGGCCTGGTTTACCGCAGTCTGGGTCCTACGCCTGGTTTACCGCAGTCTGGGTCCTAGTCCTGGTTTACCGCAGTCTGGGTCCTAGTCCTGGTTTACCGCAGTCTGGGTCCTAGTCCTGGTTTACCGCAGTCTGGGTCCTAGTCCTGGTTTACCGCAGTCTGGGTCCTACGCCTGGTTTAACACATACTGGGTCCTAGGCCTGGTTTACTGCAGTCTGGGTCCTAGTCCTGGTTTACCGCAGTCTGGGTCCTAGTCCTGGTTTACCGCAGTCTGGGTCCTAGTCCTGGTTTACTGCAGTCTGGGTCCAGGTACCAGTGTCTCACTCAGACCAAGACAGACACACTCTTAGATTCAGTTTGTCTGGAAGGTTCACCAGGTAAAACCAGTTTTACAATACTTCAGCTGATCAGGTCAGACAGGAAAAGGGTTTCAGTCTGAGACACAGAGAGGAGAGGAGGGAACAGATGGAGGAGAAAAATAAATTAATCATCATTTTACTCCTTTGGTCGTCATGGAAACAACATCTCCATCTGCAGGCACATTAGAGTGTGTGAGAGTGTCAGATGGAGCTCAGCAGGGTTCAGAACACGCCACGCTCTGGCACACTTTGGTGAGAAAACCAGAAACGAGGCGTTCAGGAACATAAAATGACTCAAACTATTTTACTGTATGAACATTTCCTTTGTTGGCATGACGATAACGGTTTTTCCTCATCAGGCTGTCCAAATGTATACATAAGCAGCATAGAAACACCTTGTGCAGGTTCCTGATCGAATCTCCACAATGAACACGGTTAAAACCGACAAAAAGGAAAACGGTTCAGCTAAGTAGCTACTTAACCAAAAATCAAGGACGACTGACTAAATCAGGTAAATCTGAACATGTCAACAAAACGCTCTTATTCTGAAATGCTCCATGTGGGATATGAAGCTGGTGCAGAGAACAGACGGTCTGTTCACAGAGAGCTGTGATCTGTGGAATTAAGCACTACAAAGGACCAATCAGCAACAAGTCAACAACGTGGGGCCGCTGCTGAAACTGAGACGCTTCCACTGTGAGGTGACCCCGGGCTGAGGACAAATCCACACCACGGTTTAGGGGCCACACTCTGGACTTGATCCTCTAAGGGTCTGAACATGACTGATGCTGCTCTCTCTGAACCTTCCTGAGTTTTGACTTCTTACTGTGCTCCCGTCTTACGGCCACTAGAGGTCGCCACCTAACAATAACAAAGCAGGAGCGGCGTCTGCAGGACGTAAAGAGCTGCGGACTCTGTCAGGTGGAAGCAGCTCCAGGTACCAGACCATGAGAAGTTGTTGTCTTAAATGTCCTGCTGGTGTAAAGAAAGGTTTAATAATAATCAAGCAGCTCTGAGGAAACACAGCTGCAACACGATGTGACTAAATCCTGAAACTGACGGCTGTCTGGAACTGGTTTCAGTTTGTTGAAGCCGTTTATGAAGTTATAAAAACTAAAAGTCGTGTCAGAGACATAAAGGGAAGAACTATTTGTCCATGCTGTGAATGTGTGGAGGCTGTGACTGAGGCTTGTTTTCTGAATGGAGTTGGGATCCATCAGGACTGTGCCGAGACCGGAACAGAGAGTGACGAGCAAGAGACTTTTTACTGCTTGAGCTACAAGCTGAAAGGCTGCAGGACAGGCGGCGAGCTGGTCTTCTTCCTGTTGGACGAGTCAGTAATAACATATTAGCTGCTCGCTGCGTCTCACGTCTCCCAATTACGTTTGTCTTTTATTAAAGTTGGCTTCTTGCTAGTTTTGGCATGTAATGTGATGCCAACACGTGTAGCCGTGGCTGCGTCTCGCGTTGTAAGCTAAGTGTTCCACTTCCTGTCAGTAACCTCTAACTTCCTCTCTTGTTGCTTTGAGTCAGAAAGCTTTAGGACGCAGATTTATGACTTTAGATTTTTATTGGAACAAACGTCTCGCTGTGTCATTACTCGGCGTCTCCGTCGCGGTTGTTGCTTTGGTTTCCGTGGTGATAGCAGCGATGGAGGTTAACTCTGTTGCTCTGGGTTGCCGTGGAAACCATCACCGTGCTCCTCTCCACAGACGTGTTGAAGCCGTGATCGCGGAACATCCCGCTCTGCAGCAGCGCCTCCGAGAACTGACGGGAGCTCCCTTTGAACTGGGTCTGAAACACACAGGGGACAGGGGTCAGAGGACAGGGGTCAGAGGACAGGGGTGAGGGGACAGGAGTCAGGGGACAGGGGTGCGGGGACAGGAGTCAGAAGACAGGGGTGAGGGGACAGGAGTCAGGGGACAGGGGTGCGGGGACAGGAGTCAGAAGACAGGGGTGAGGGGACAGGAGTCAGAGGACAGGGGTTAGGGGACAGGGGTCAGAGGACAGGGGTTAGGGGTCAGAGGACAGGGGTGAGGGGACAGGAGTCAGGGGACAGGGGTTAGGGGACAGGAGTCAGAGGACAGGGGTTAGGGGTCAGAGGACAGGGGTGAGGGGACAGGAGTCAGGGGACGGGTGAGGGGACAGGGGTCAGAAGACAGGGGTGAGGGGTTAGGGGACAGGAGTCAGAGGACAGGGGTTAGGGGTCAGAGGACAGGGGTGAGGGGACAGGAGTCAGGGGACAGGGGTTAGGGGACAGGAGTCAGAGGACAGGGGTTAGGGGTCAGAGGACAGGGGTGAGGGGACAGGAGTCAGGGGTCAGAGGGCCGGGGTCAGAAGACAGGGGTTAGGAGAAAAGGGACAGAGGACAGGGGTTAGGGGACAGAGGGCAGGGGTCAGAGGACAGGGGTTAGGGGAAAGGGGACAGAGGACAGGGGTTAGGGGAAAGGGGTCAGGGGTCAGAGAGATCTCTCCCGTCTGTCTCTCCCTTCTGTCTAATGTCGCTCCTTTCTGTCTCTCCCGTCTGTCTCTGTCCCGTCTCTCCCTTCTGTCTCAAGTCTCTCCTGTCTGTCTCTCCCGTCTGTCTCATGTCTCTCCTTTCTGTCTCTCCCGTCTGTCTCTGTCCCGTCTCTCCCTTCTGTCTCATGTCTCTCCTGTCTGTCTCTCCCTTCTGCCTCATGTCTCTCCCGTCTATCTCTCCCGTCTGTCTCTCCTTCTGTCTCATGTCTCTCCTTTCTGTCTCTCCCGTCTCCCCCTTCTGTCTCATGTCTCTCCCTTCTGTCTTCTGTTTCTGTCCTATCTCTCCCTTTCATCTCTCCTGTCTGTCTGTCCTTCTGCCTCATGTCTCTCCCTTCTGTCTCACCTGCATCTCGTGGACGGTTGGCTTCTTGCTGCCGTACGTTTGGTTTGACGTTCGATAAAGTGGGTGAGTGAAGTTCTGACTGAAACAGACACAGTATTAATGCATGCAGTAAATCATGTAGTGCATGCAGTACACCATGTAGTGCATGCAGTAAATCATGTAGTGCATGCAGTAAATCATGTAGTGCATGCAGTAAATCACGTAGTGCATGCAGTAAATCATGTAGTGCATGCAGTACACCATGTAGTGCATGCAGTAAATCATGTAGTGCATGCAGTAAATCATGTAGTGCATGCAGTACACCATGTAGTGCATGCAGTACACCATGTAGTGCATGCAGTAAATCATGTAGTGCATGCAGTACACCATGTAGTGCATGCAGTAAATCATGTAGTGCATGCAGTACACCATGTAGTGCATGCAGTAAATCATGTAGTGCATGCAGTAAATCACGTAGTGCATGCAGTACACCATGTAGTGCATGCAGTAAATCATGTAGTGCATGCAGTAAATCATGTAGTGCATGCAGTACACCATGTAGTGCATGCAGTAAATCATGTAGTGCATGCAGTAAATCACGTAGTGCATGCAGTACATCATGTAGTGCATGCAGTAAATCATGCATGCAGTAAATCATGTAGTGCATGCAGTACACCATGTAGTGCATGCAGTAAATCATGTAGTGCATGCAGTACACCATGTAGTGCATGCAGTAAATCATGTAGTGCATGCAGTACATCATGTAGTGCATGCAGTAAATCATGCATGCAGTAAATCATGTAGTGCATGCAGTAAATCATGTAGTGCATGCAGTAAATCACGTAGTGCATGCAGTACACCATGTAGTGCATGCAGTAAATCATGTAGTGCATGCAGTACACCATGTAGTGCATGCAGTAAATCATGTAGTGCATGCAGTAAATCATGTAGTGCATGCAGTACACCATGTAGTGCATGCAGTACACCATGTAGTGCAGTAAATACGTAGTGCATGCAGTACACCATGTAGTGCATGCAGTACATCATGTAGTGCATGCAGTACACCATGTAGTGCATGCAGTAAATCATGTAGTGCATGCAGTAAATCATGTAGTGCATGCAGTACACCATGTAGTGCATGCAGTACACCATGTAGTGCATGCAGTAAATCATGTAGTGCATGCAGTACACCATGTAGTGCATGCAGTACACCATGTAGTGCATGCAGTACACCATGTAGTACAGTAACTACTAGTGCATGCAGTACACCATGTAGTACAGTAACTACGAGTGCATACAATACACCATGTAGTGCATGCAGTACACCATGTAGTGCATGCAGTACACCATGTAGTACAGTAACTACGAGTGCATACAATACACCATGTAGGAGTGATAAAATTATGGGTACTAAAACAGAATGGAAGTGAAATATTAATAAAGTACTAAGTAAGGGTATCTAATACTACTGACTGTAGTAGAAAGGATAGTACTGGCCAATAAACTGAACTAAATGTAATACCAACAGCTGCAGTACACAAGTACTACCTTCATCAAGTAGTAGTAGTTTTAGAAATCTTTGCAGTAGCAGCACTTGTTGTAATAATAAAAGAAGTAGTAATATTACAGGAGTAGTGACAGAATGTGTTCTTTGTTTCAAACTCTGCATCTGATGAGCTGACAGGAAACTGGTTAGCTAGCTGGTTAGCTGGTCTGAGTACCTGTAGCCCTGGAAGGAGTCCGGGTTGTTGAACCTGTGCGGCAGGTTCGGGTCGGTTCTGTAAACGTCGCAGGTCTGAACTCTCTGCTGCTCCATGACTGATCCAAACACAACTGTTGCTAACAACACGTTACCATGGAGACACATCACAACACTCACTGCTCATTGGCTCCTCCTCCTCCTCCACACACACACACACACACACACACACACACACACACACACACACACACACACACACACACACACACACGGGAAGTTGTAACCAGACATAAAAGTAAAAGCATGTAAATTACACTGTACATTAAAGGAAAGGTTCCTTTTTGTAACACGTTACTTTGATAATAAAGTTTGTAGTCCAGAATTGAACATCTAATTAATTAAATGTAAATTCAAGTGTGAAAGGGAAGGTTCCTTTCTAAATGTAATAGATAAGTTCAAGTTCAAGTTTATTTATATAGCACAATAGACAACAAATATACATGACAACAGTAGAAAAAGTAAAAAAATAAAATGTCACTACTCAACTCTGTTTGAAGGCCAATGAATAAAGATAGGTCTTTAGCAAAGACCTGAAAGTGTCAGGAGTTTGGGCATTTCTTATTTGAACAGGTAAAGTATTCCAAAGATTAAGAGCAGCTACTGAGAAGGCTTGGTCACCTTTAGTTTTTAACCTGGATCTGGGGACATCAAGGAGCATCTGATTGGATGACCTCAGTGCTTTGACCGGAGTGTGTACATGTAAAAGTTCTGATAAATAAGAAGGTGCCAACCCATTTAAAATTTTAAAAACAAGCAATAAAATCTTAAAATCAATCCTAAAGCGGACAGGAAGCCAGTGGAGCGAGGCTAAAACAGGGGTAATGTGCTCACGCTTTTTAGTTCCTGTTAGAAGTCGGGCTGCTGCATTCTGGACTAACTGTAACCGATGGAGAGACGACTGATCCGCTCCAACATACAAGGAGTTACAGTAGTCGAGACGAGACGTTATAAATGCATGTATTACTCTTTCAAAGTCTTTGCGTGGTAGGTAGGGCTTGACTTTGGCCAACAGTCTCAGCTGAAAGAAACTGGCTTTTACTACAGAACTAATCTGTTTTTCAAACTTAAAAGCACTGTCAAAGATCACAACTAGATTCTTGGTAAATGGACGACTATACGTTCCTAAAGTACCAAGAACATCTATACAAGCACTTAAATCCCCAGGTCGACTAAACACAACAACGTCAGTCTTATTTTCATTCAGACAGAGAAAGTTCAGATTCAACCACATTTTAAGATCTCTCAGGCAGTTGAGCAAGGACTGAGTTGCAGCTTTGTCGTTAGATTTTACAGGTAAATAGATTTGTATGTCGTCTGCAAAGCAATGATGTTGTGTTTTTTGAAAATGGACCCCAATGGCAGCATGTACAGTGAAAAAAGCATGGGGCCCAATATGGACCCTTGGGGGACCCCACAAGAAAGAGGGGCAGCAGATGAAGAAACTTCTATCTGCCAGATATGATTGAAACCATTTGAGGGCTGTGCCCCTAATGCCGACACACTGTTCGAGTCGGGATAAGAGAATGGAGTGGTTAACCATATCAAAGGCAGCAGTCAAATCTGAAAGCACCAAAACAGCAGAGTTTCCAGAGTCAACAGCTAAAAGGAGATCATTAAAAACTCTTAAAAGGGCAGTTTCAGTACTGTGACAAGGCTTAAATCCAGACTGGAATTTTTCATAAACACTAAAATCATCTAAAAATGATTGAAGTTGATTAAAAACCACTCTCTCTAGGATTTTTGACAAAAAGGGGAGCTTAGAGAGTCTATGAAGATTCTCAGTCATCCAGGTCATAGTTATCCAACAAAGGTTAAAATCAAGGGCAACTGGACTTGGTTGAAGATACTGGAAGACGTTTCGTCCCAGTCCTTTGGATGAGGGACGAAACGTGACTTTGTTGTGTGCTGTATGATGACAAATAACCATAGTTGTGTAACTTTTTCACGAACGTCCAACAAACAGAAATCCAAAAGAAGTGAACAAACCGCAATGCAGGCAGGGATGGCTGTAAATCCATAGAAACAGAGATGAGGAACAAACCAGCAGAGAAACGGGGTGAGATGAGAACATGTAGCACCCGACTTTAACAGGACAGGACCCCACAACGATCCAGCAAGACTGACCGGACCTGGGAAGTAGAAATGCAATCCTCCTGTGGAGCCTGAAGCCGCCGTATCATTTCCTCATACTGTCGATACCAAAGCGCACACTGAACCACTCACCTGCTGAACGTCACGTCTTTAGAAACATCAAAATCCTGGTTAGATAGTAGTTTGTGACCCAAACATGATCTTTAACGTGACTGCTTTGATGATCAGTCTGTCCTCGAGGTGAGCACAGAGACAGCGACCTCTGGACATCAAGGGTGTTATTTTGGTCTTGCGATGCATGGCGTTCTCAGAGAGTATACCGTCTTTTCACTTGTCCACCACTCATATTCTCGCCCAGATTATTTCTTCTTCTGAGATTCACCCCATCACAATCAGCGTTTCTATCACTCTGAATAAAAAAAGAGTCACACCACCAACTAGACATTGGAGACTTCACTACTTAAAGACCTGGATTTTATTAGTTATTTCAAAAAGGAGAGGGCAATGTTTCCAGAAACCAGTCTCTTGGGAGGTAGAATGATCTCATCATACAAAAAAGAAAGAGAGAACCCGTGAATTACAAAAAATAAAAACATTAGAAGCTGCTCGTGTTGCCTCCCCACAGGAACACATGCTGAACCATGTGAGAAAATTTAAACTTGAATTAAATGACATTATTGATAAAAAGACTTGATTCTAACTGGCGACCTGTCCAGGGTGTACCCTGCCTTTCGCCCGATGTCAGCTGGGATTGGCTCCAGCCCCCCGCGACCCTGTACGCAGGATAACGGGTTGACGGTGGATGGATGCATGAGGACGCAATTCTAGATCCAGCAGATTCCTAGCCAACCAATTTAAATTGAATAAAGAAAAATTAACTCTTTCCTCTTCAAAGCACTCAGCTGATGACTCATAACCCAAAAGAAATAAACAATGCCTTTAGAGATAAATTTATAAAAACTTATATACATCACAAATTGATCCATCGAGCTCCAACATCGATGCCTTTCTGAACAATATAGATTTCACCAAGGATAGATGATGTTTCAGTGGCTGAACTCCATGAAGCCCCCTGTATCATCCAATATAGGAACCTCCTGTTAGACCACATTAGCATGGAAAGAATGGGGGCAGTGGCATGGAGGGATTTATAGGTGAGGAGGAGGATTTTGTAGGTGATGTGGAATTTGACCGGCAGCCAGTGAAGCTGAGTGAGGATTGGAGTGATGGCAGCCAAGTTCTGGACATATCCTAGCCTGTCCAGGACTTTGCTGGGTACCCCATGCAGTAGTCTAAGCACGAGGTGATGAAGGCATGGATGAGAGACTGCCACAGAGTCTGGGAGTGAAGGTTGAAGTCTGGGGATGTTTGTGAGGTGGTAGAAGGCAGATTTGGTACGAGTTTGACATGCGACTGGAATGAAAGGGAGGAGTCCAAAATGACACCAAGGTCGCGGACTTCTTGTTATCAGGCATGTGATTGGCAATACTGAGACCACCCCACATCCCGATCAAACTGGCGGCGGCTCTATTATAACATATGGATGGTAACGCAGGACCCATGGCAATAACTTGAGAAATTGAAATAATTGAGTCTATAACTCAATAACATTTCATAGATTATCACAAAGATCATTTTCAGAAATTGAAAACAATATGGGCCCAAGTACTGAGCCTTGAGGAACCCCCTTGGAAATGGGCAAAAAGGAAGTGGAGGAGCCAGCCACCTGAACACTTTGGGTTCTACCTGACAGATAATTTGCAAACCAATCTACTGAATGCTTAGACAGGCCAATGCTCAGTAGTCTATTTGCCAGAATATTATAATACTGTCCATCCATCCATCTTTATCCGCTTATCCAGTGCCCCAAAAATATCATTTATCACTTTCAATGCTGCAGATATGGTGCTGTGTTGTTTCCTAAAACCAGACTGAAAGGGGGATGAGACATCATTTGAATTTAAGAATTCCTTTAGCTGCTCACCAACCAAGCGTCCAAGGAGCTTGGCTAAAACCCCCCAGCGCGACCCTGTAAGCAGGATAAGAAGTTGACGATGGATGGATGGGATCGCTCCCTTTCAGCATCAGTCTTTGATTTCCTGGCCCCTGACCAGGCAGCATCTCTAACCTTGAGAAGGCAGAAAATCTCAGGAGAAAACCGGGGATTGTTTCGGCCTTTGACTCTAAATTTGCGTACAGGGACATGCTTATCTATGATCCTAAGACGACCATCATAAAAGTAGTTCCAGGCCAATTCTACTTCATCTATAAGAAAGATTTTGTTCCAATCAAAGTGAAACAGGTCACGTGAAAAGGCTTGTTCACAGAAATGCTTCATATGAAAATAATCCGAGCCCTCTGTTTCGGGGTTTTAGCATTCCAAACTGCTGCAATTGTACAATGATCACTCATTAGCAAACACACCTATATCTGAGAATTTGTGTGGAGCATTAGTTAAAAACAAATCAAGTAAATAGGACTTTTCAGGGCAGTTGTTGTTTGGGTGAGTTGGACAATCAATCAACTGGGTGAGATTAAGAGTCACAGACAGAGTTAAAGCTGTCTGACATGGAGGACAGCCAATCCAAGTTAAAATCCCCGGCTAAAAGTACCTCTCCAAATTCAATGCTCAGTACTTGCTGAGGGTGGTCTATAGCAACCTATGACCGTCATTGTTTGCCCCGATGCGAGCTCCATCTTCAAGGCTAAAAGCTCTAGCTGCTTACTAATGGATACCAAATCCACAATGTTACAAGGAAAGACCAGGGTTAGGATGAACACTACCAGAGAGAGGAGGGCAGGCAGTGGGAGGCTTGACAGTGCTACTTTTCTATAAAACAGTACTCTGTTGATCATTGGCAGACTTTCTGGGGAAGACCTGGTCTGATCCGGAGAGACGGCATCCATCCCACTTGGGAAGGAGCAGCTCTCATTTCTAGAAATCTGGCCAAGTTTATTAGTGGACCAAATCCATGACAACCCAGAGTTGAGACCAGGAGGCAGAGTCGCAGTTTAACACACTTCTCTGCCCTTCTTTTTCA